GTCATTTGGCTGGTTGAGGACTGTGATTGGCTGGTGACCGCGATTTTTTGTATGGTCGGCGAATTTTACCGGCTGGCTTTTGATCGGCTGAATTTTGATCTTTCTCAGTGAATAGTTGAAAAAATACCTGACGGATGATGGCAATAATTGAAATGACGTCATCGACCCGTCATCACATCGTCATCTTCAGCACCGCCATCATCGTCATCATCTTCATCACCATCATCTGCATCATCATCATCATCACCACCTCCATCACCATCATCATCATCGACACGACCAGGAAATTTTTCAGTACACCCAACTTTGAATGCTGGTTGAGGCACAGGGAGAGAGAGGTCAACCAGAAATTGAAGATGCTACACCTCGAGGCTCTCTGCTCATGTGTCGGTTTCTCATCATCATCATCATCATCATATTATTGTTATTCTCATTATTATTATTATTCTCATTATTATTATTATTGTTGTTATTATATTATCGTTATTTTTATTATAGTCATAAAATGATATTTTTTTTTTTTTTTTGAAAAAAAAAATCAAAAACAGAATTTGGAAGAATGGCTGAAGGGTAAGAAGGAGGTGCAGAAGGTCGATCTAATCATCAGGATGAATGAAAACTTGGTAGTGTGACGTGTGTCGTCGTTTGTGTGTGTGAAATGTGTGTGTGTGACCTGTGTCGCTTGTCTTAGTGGGACAGGTGTGTCGCTTGTGTGTTGCTTGTGTGTGTGTGTGTGTCTGTGACGTGTGTGTGTGTAACATGTGTATGTGTTGTATTGTCTAATGTGAAATGTGGTGTGATATGTGTGTAAATTATTATTGCTATTATTCCATAATGTCCATTATTCTATATTTAGTATCTTTTTCTTCGTCGTAGAAATGGTTGCAGACGCACCTGGATGACGTCACGCCAGACGGCAGCTGTTTAAAAGTGAAATTAAAAGAGAAACTCTCCACCATTGTGGCCGCCTTGCCTTACGACTCGCAGACTATTTTCAATTGAATTGGGATGGATTGAGTTGGATTGAATTGGATTGAGTTGGATTGGATTGAATTGTGTTGAATTGAGTTAGGTTGAATTGGACTGAATTGGATTGAATTGAATTAGGTTGAATTGGATTGAATTGAATTGAATTGAATTGGGTTGAGTTTGATTGGATTGGATCGGGTTGGATTGAATTGGATTGGGTTGAATTGGATTGAATTTAAATGGGTTGAATTGGATTGAATTGAATTGGATTGAATTGAATTTAAAATTTTGTTTTTAAATATTGTATATGTCTTTTTATCTCTTGCTTATTCGTTCGTTCATTTATTTTATTTTATTTTCAATTTTAAACCGAAAATTCGTTAAAGATTTAACAATGGTATTGTATTTATAATATTTTTTCTCTATTCACTCATTCAATCAATCATTCATTTTTTCATTCATTCAGTTAATTTTGGTTTGTCCGTTTGTCCATCCATCTAACCGTTCGTTCGTTCGTTCATTCGTTCGTTCATTAATTAATTCCTGTTTTCAATTGGCCATTCATTCGATTTTTCAATTCATCAGTTTATTCATTAATTTAGCTAGCCGGTTCATACATTCATTCATTCACCATACATTCATTCATTCATTTAGCTGTCCGGTTCGTTCATTCATTCATTCATTCATTAATTCATACATTAATTCATTCATTCATACAGCTGTCCGGTTCGTTCATTCAATCAATCATTCATTCATTCATTTAGCTGTTGTGTTCGTTCAATCAATCAATCATTCATTCATTTATTCATTCTTACTCATTACGGATTGAACGCTGTGCCCTAGTGATTTCACTGTCACTCTTATGGATTGCAATTCTTCTTAACTGGCAACTGATATTATGTAACTGATACGTTGTCCGTTTTTTTTCTTTTACTGTATATTTATTCAGTCAGTCATTCATCCGTTCTTTCTTCTACTCATTCTTTTAATCATCCAATCAGTCACTCACAGATTATCATCACTCATTCACTTGTTTATTTACCAGTCGATCGTTCACTCATTTACTTATGTATTATCATTACAATCTTCTGTATGTCTTTTGTGTGTGTGTGTGTGTTTGTGTGTGTGTATGTATGTGTTTGTTTTGTGTGTGTGTTTATGTGTGTGTGTGTGTGTGTGTGTGTGTGTGTGTTTGTGTGAGTATCCATGCCTTACTTAATTAATTAGCTCAACTAATAATAATGATGTTTCTATACCATCTTAATTAATCATCGTTCAATAACCTCTCTCCAAACTCTAAACTTTAGTGATAATGATTTGTGTTTAAGTTTTAAGTGATTGTTTGTTTTTTTTTTCTTGTAACTTTAGTAAAGTTGATGTAAGTTCCGATGCGTTTTACTCTATTCATTTGCTGGTCTATTTTTTTTTATTTATTAATTATTATTTATTAATCTGTTTATTTTTTGGCAAAAGATTTAAAATAAAGAAGAGATCTTATATAACTTTAAAACCTTATTAACATATTCAAGAATTATTAGTATTTATTTTATTTATTTATTTCTACTATTACTACTACAACTACAATTACTTTCATTAGTAGTAGTAGTAGTAGCAGTAGAAGTAGCTACAACAGCAGCATAAGTAGTAGCAGCCGTAGAAGTAGCTGCAGCATAAGTAGTAATGTAGTAGCCGTAGCTGTGATAGTAGCAGTTGTATAGGGCAGTTGTGTAGTAGTAATTTTTTTGTAGTATTGGGGATAATTTGGTAGTAGTAGTATTATTATTGTTGTAGCTGCAGAATTCGTAGAAATCGGCAGTAGTAGTAGTAGTAGTAGTAGTAGTAGTAGTAGTAGTAGTAGTAGTGGTAGTAGTAGAAGTAGTAATTATTATTATTGTTATTATCGTTATTTTGGCTTAAGAAATGTTTCATTTTATTTAATTGTGTTTTTATGAAGCTAACTTTTTCAAATAAATGAATCAAATAAATTACTATTTTAATTAATTGATTGATTAATTGGATTGAATATTAATGAAAAAGTGGAATTTTTCAACCTTGAACGTGAAATATACACGCGCGCGCACACACGCGCCCACACATACACACACACACATACTTACAAATTTCAAGTCAGAAGAACTTAATAATGCTGCTTAATGAATGAATGTATATTCACGTATACAAGTGCATAAATGGATGAATGATTGGCTGAACGAATGACTTAATTAATGTGTTAATTAATGGGTTAATTAATGGGTTAATGGATGAGTGAATAAAGCAAAGAATTAGACCAATTCATGTTGAGTGCTGTTGTGTTTTTCATTTCATTGCAGTTTGACACTGTCCGGGTTTAAACACACGCTGAGTCTTATTGGCAAGCTTATTCTATGACGCATGTTTGTGTGTATGTGCGTGTGTTTGTGTGCGTGTGTGTGTTTATATGCGTCTGTGTGTGTACATGCGTGCGTGTGAGTGTGTACGTGCGTCTGTGTGTGTGTTAAAATATTTTTGCCGCGTTTTTTTTCAAATTGAATGAATGATTTTATTTATGAAAGAATGGATGGATGTATGGAATGCTAGTGAAGGAGTGTTTAGGATGAATGGACGAATGAACGAACGAGTGAATGAATGAGTGAATGAATGCTGAGTAAATTTACTTTTTAATGGATAACTGAGTGAACGATCAAACAATTAAACATACGAACGAATGAACACGTTCACGAGCAAACGAACAAATGGTTAATAGAATGAACTAGTGTAAAAATTAAGTTTTTAAACCAAAAAATTATTGCACTGTCAAACTGTTCATCCACCGGCAAAGAGTCACACGATCGTCTTGAATGTTTCAATTTTCAACCGGCTAAACATAATGAAAGATTGCAATTTAAAAAAAAAGTCTGACTTTTAAAAAGACCAACAGTATGGGTGCATAATGTGCGTCTATATGTCTGTGTATTTGTTTGTGTGTATATATATGTGCGTGTGTGTGTGTATGTGCGTGCATGTGTGTGTATGTGACTATGTGAACAAGTTTTCTTATGCCATTGTTGAGCTTTGCGCTGAAAATTTGTATTACGAACGTACACTATATTATGGTATATCAATATATCATTGCAGTTGTTGTTGTTAATATTCTTCTTCTTCTTCTTTTTCTACTACTACTACTACTTCTTCTTCTTATTATTATTATTAATATTTTTATTATTATTTCGGAATGACTGCCAGCCAACGCATGGTTGGTTTAATCGTAACTTAAGAAAAAAAAGCTCACTTAGATAAGTGAAATAAACCATCATTCTTTCTTTCATTCATTTATTCGTTTGTTTGTTCGTCCGTTCGTTCATTCATTCATTTATTCGTTCCTTGGTTCATTCGTTCATTCATTTATGCGTTCATTCATTCATTTTTCTTCTTCTTCACTCGATCCTTATGTCAGCTACGCTTTGTGTTATTGAATAGAATGATTATCATTGCTAAAACCGGCTGGTAACTATTAGCACAATAGAATGTTCAAACACACGTACACAGACACGCACACACACACATACACATTTATACACACACAAACACACACACACAGAAGAAGTATATGATATATGCGATTAAATATCTCAAGTTTTTG